GTCAGGGCAAGTTAACACCTCATCATATAAAGGAGCTACTGGAGAGAAAAGATTCACGGGCTTTTCCATCATATGCCATGGCTCCACCATCTGGACTCTTCCTGAAATCAGTGGAATATAATGAAGCAGGTGGGTGACTGCAGGGCCTGGGATGCTTTCTGTAGGAGTCTGACTTAATGCTTAGGGAGCAGTAACACCCACATGTTCCTTCATGTGCATCTGACCCCTGGCTCACAGCTTTGTTCATCAACACCTACACCTGAGCAAATGCCCAAGAGTGTGCAGTTGCTATGATAAAACTGTGTGTTTATTTCCTGGTAGATTTCTTCCCCCTAAAGAGAAGTTGTGTTGCCAGTAACTTAGAGATCTTATCTGAATGACACTTGAGATTCTCATAAACTCTTGTTCAGTCCCTGATCATGTATAAAGACCAAATCTTCTGCAGTATCTTAGCACCTACAGATCCATTTCTGTTCACTTATTTCTCCCTTGGTATGTAGGAGAGGATAGTACAGACAGGAGGACAGAATGGCTCATCCTTTTGCTTGTGTGGTGGCTCTCTCAATTTAACAGCAGCTGATCTAAACTGTTTTAAGTATTTTAGCTTAATAAAAAGGAAGGGAGGGCAAATTTGCAGGATTTATCTGTCTCTGATTAATCCAGTGCCCATGAAATGTAGATGTGGTGCTTTTCCTGACAGTTCTGGCTGTGGAGCTGTCTGTGCCAGTGGGGAAGGAGCCGAGGTGGGACATGTGCACCAGAGATCTGATGTGCTTTCAGGTGGATTCAGTGCCATCTTCTCCCCTAAATTAGTGTTTTCTTTTTTCCCTCCTAGATTTGGACACTACAGTTTCCCCAGAAGAATAACAGCTCTGGGAGCTACAGCTGTGTCTACTGGGACTGCTGTGGGTATGATGGAGGTTTGCCAAGCCCTCTTCCCACAGTACATGATCTTGTCTCAATAAAAATCATTGACTGTGACTGCAGGCATCTTCCTATCATTTCTTCTTGCTCTTTGAGACTGCCAAGAGGAAAGGAAGAACAGCTCCATGAGGCTTTCAGATAAGGGTTTTTTGTTTTGTTTTTTTTTCTCTGAAATTCTGGTGCCTGTCTCAAACAGGAGGAGGAAGGAGTGGGGCTTGGGTTTTTGTGTTGTTTTTTTTTTTCTTTTTTCCTTCTGTGGTGTGTGAGAGAGGGATTCAGTCTTAGAACAGAGGAGAATGTAGCGTTTCCTCTGGCTCTGTCCTCTGTGACCCAGCCTTTGTACAGCACAGTGCAAGGGACAACTGTTCCTGTGTGACTTGCAGAAACAGTCTTTGAAAGTATTCCCTGTTTCCTCATCAGCAGTCACTCTGCTGTTCAACTGTAGGAGCTTTTACATTACCCTGTTCCTGCTACAGAGCCATGGCTGTTGCACTTGGGATGTGGCATATCACAAAGTTCCTTTCAGGTCACCTAAGCCTATTCTAATGCTCAGAGCCTGGGCTGGTAGCACAGGCAGGACTGTGTGAGTCTCCCTGCCCGTGAGATGAAACACTTGGGTGCAGGAGGTGGCTGCCACACTCTTGCTGGGCTCTAGTTTGCTTGTTGCCACCTTCTGCTCTTCCAGTTGTTGGTTCAGCAAGGCTGCAGCACGTGCCAGAGCCTACCAGTGACCTGAGGGGATGTGAATCTAGTGCAGAGAGACTTTTTTATTTTTAATTTTCTTCTATTTTTTCAACCACTCTAACCTCAGGTTTTGTCTGTTTACCCAAGCAATGAAATACACATTGAGTAGCTTGTGGGTTTTCTTCTCGTGAATTACACCAGAATCTCTTGTCTGTTTTGGTTATAAAATGACTGTTAGGAGTGCCAGGTTATGAGAAAGAGGATGAATATTTTGACTTGTGAAGTTACCAGAAGAAACAATCCCTGCTTTCAGCCCTTCTGCAATGGATGCAATGTTCAGCTGAGATGCCTGGTACCACCATCATTCATCTCCCCTTTGTCTGTGAGAGAAGAATTCCAGAGAAAGCCAGTTTGTCAGAGCACCTGGTAAGGGGATGTTCTTTGTTCTCTGGCAATTCAAGTGATGCAGATTATCCCCTTTAGATAAAGAATCTGAATAACCTCCAGCAGCTTTGGAGGTCTCTGCCATGGCCAAGGAGAGTTGAAGCTGCTGGGTTGCCAGTGTTGTACCTGTGTGTGCTTTACTGGGGCAGGCCCCAGAGGCAGGGATGCTGTAACAAGCTGCAGGGAATTTTCCGCACAAACTTTGATGTGCCCATGTGGGTTTAGACACTGGTTTGCCAGGAAGGGGATGGCAACCAAGTCTTGCTCTTCCTCCCTCAGAGGAGAAGTGAGAGTGCAGCTCCAGGCCCCTTTCAGAGTGTCTGTCTGGGGCCCTGGTACCTGGTTCCAGAGGCAGGTCCTGCTCTGCAGGGCTAGGACTAGGGGTGACCAAGAGTGGGAGCACTGTGCCACCCTCCCACAGGGGACATTACACCCTGCACTGTGCTGGCTCTGTGCTGTGCTCTCTCCCCAGTTCAGAGGGGACACTTCACCAGCAGGGCAAGTGCTCTATCTTGATCTAAGTCTTGATCTAAGTGGCAGCTTTTCATCTTTGCTTCCTGTGGTTTTTCTGCAGAGCAGTGCACGAGCTCTCTGCAGGATGTCTGCATGACAGTTTGCTCTGCTGTTAAAGGCAGGCAGAAGAGCTCAGCAGTGACCTGGTGGCTGGGAAGACTCTGTGGAGAGGCCAGCATGGTCATCTGCAGCTTTTGAGTGAGAGGAGACGATCTGAGCTCAGGTAAGTTAACTTTCCATCTAAATTTATCATGGGTTTTGCAGGGCAGAAAACTGAACCAAATTCTAACACTGTTTGGATGTTAATCCAGCTAACCACAGGCTTGGCTATCACCATATTGTGTCTTTTGGGTTTTTTTAATAATCACAGTGCAAAAATACCTGCTCTTGATGTTTCTGCAAATGTTTGCCAGCTTCTGGGTACAACAAAAACTCCTGGGGTTTTTATCAAACCCCATAGCTGAGCACCCCAGGAGCAGACTACCTGGTAACCCCTGCAGTCAGCACAAGGAGCTGCTGTGGGTTGCTGCTTTGTTTTTGTTAACATCCCAGAGCAACTGCTAAAAATAACCTGAAGACATTTCATTAAAGAACATGCATTTTTAGCATCACAATTTGTACCATCAGTAGAGAACTGTACAAACTCCAGATCATTTATTGTGTCTATCATTAACACTAGTTACTCATTATCAAGGACTATTTAGCATGATTTTCATGTTGCATTACTAAATGTTTTTAGTTGATTCAATTTGGGCATCCAATACATGGGGAGATCTGTCTTTCTGATTGACAGTGATGCTTTAAAACTAAAACCAGAAAGACCTCAAGCTTAGTATATATGAAAGTTTTTCTAATAATTTAATGAGCTCAAAATCCAGTGAAAACTTTGGTGTGTTTTTCTGTAACTAATAACTTTGTGCAGACATAACCACACTGCCAGGGGCCCAAGGGTACCTGCAGCCAGACTCATTTTGCCATCTCCCAGCCATCAGTCAGCATGAAGCACAGACACTCTTGTGTCTAGGATCTTGGGACAATCTATGTGATATTTAGAAAAAACTCCTTTGGTTTGTTTTGGGACTGTTACCTGGGGTCTGTGGATGTTCTCACTGCTGTGAGTCTCCTTGGCCTGTCCTGCCTCTCCAGTGGTTCTACAGGCTCCTGTCTTTTCTTCCCACAGCTGCAACACTGATCTTTGAGCCTAGAAGAGAGAGATGGTGGGTGGCTTAGCCATGCCTGGGTTGTATTCATGTTCTTTGTGCACAAACTCTTTGCTCCTAGGTGAGAGACTCATGTAACCACTTGCATACTTAAAGTGAAACAAATTTTTTTTTCCCCTTTCTGATCTTCCAGTTGTCATCTTGGGTGGTACTTACTTCATGAGATAAGTGTGGGGAGGAAGTGTGATTTCAAAGCTTCCTTTGGAAAGTACCCAACAAGCTTTGTATTTTTGTGCTTTCAATGGCTCAACTTCAGGAACACTCTGCATGTCGTAGCCTGGGTTTCATTTCTCCACTGCCTTTAAGGGCTTCTGTCCAGGTGTCCATGTTTGGCTTACTAAGATTTCTTCTACATCTGACAGAGAGAAACTGCAGTTTATTGCCTACGTAATGTGAGTGACCTAGATGAGAGGAGTCCTACTTGTTCAGTGCCTCTTTCCCAGATTACAGACCCATCAACTAGTCCTTTAGGCTCCCTGGGGTGGTTTCCCCTTTGCAGTGTGGCTGCAGAGGAGCTGTAAGGTGCTGAAAACCCACCCAGCAGCTTGCACCAAGCCTTCCCCAGCCCACAGATTTCAGCTCAGGTATAAAAGTGTGGGTGGGAAGAATGGAAAAACCCGTTTTTCTCAGCTGGTCTGCACACCTTTTTGTCAAGCCTTGCTTGTATTTTTGCCTCTGCTGCTTTCGGTTTTCTGGGAAGGCTGCAGAGTCCATCACTGCAGTTGTTTAAGGGCAGGATAATAACACACATCTCAGCAATGACACAGTTTGGTTGGGCTTAGGAATGGGAAGTTAATTGCAGGATGTCCAGAGGTACAAATATCACTGCTAAGGTTCTCCTGTCCTGCTTCAGCTGCTGGCCCATCCTTAGCCCAAGCTAGAGCCTCTATGTGTCTTTTTTGAGGGCTGGGGGGAATTGCTACCTCTGTTACTTCAACATTGTCATCCTGTGATTATTTTAATGCCAGTAAATAATTGTCTACTGTGAACTTGACATGCCTGTGTTTTAAATGACTTTACTCTCCCTCACAGCAACACCACTTTCTATCTCAGCAGCCCAAGCACAGATCTCTGGACAAGACTTCAGCAGACTCGGCATTGCTGGTTTGTAGCTTTAGCTCTCACCACTTGAACTAAAGCTCAAGAACCTCCTGAGGTGAGGGATGATTTAAGCCTTTTATCCCATTTGGAAACCCCTGCACTCCAGCAGAAATCATGGCAGATATTCCCTGGACTGAAGGAGAATCCAGTGAGACAGTTGCCAACACCAGTTCAGAACTCATTTTGGAAGCAGACTTCCAGTATTCCTTGTTTACTGTCATCTACAGCATTGTCTTTGTGCTGGGGCTGACAGAAAATGTCCTGGCTCTGTACCTCCTGTCCTGCAGAGTAAAGCACACTTCTCACTCCTACATCTACCTGATTAACCTGGCTCTGGTGGACACCTTGTTTGTTTGTGTGTTGCCTTTTAAAATCCATTACCACCTGAATTGGAACAACTGGATCTTTGGGGATGTGGCTTGTAGGATCACTGGGACCCTGTACTATATCAACATCTACCTCAGCATTGCCATCTTCACCTGCATCTGTGTGGATCGCTACCTTGCTGTGCTGCACCCCTTCAGCTACATCCAGATCAGAGGCAGCCACTACGTGCTGGTGGTCACAGTCCTTTGGGTGGTTGCTCTGAGTGTCATGGTTCCACTGGTCCTTGGAGGGCCCCTCCACAACAGAGGGGCCAGGAACACAACAGCCTGTTTTGAGAACTTTGCTACGAGCAGCTGGACCTCCCGCATGGCACCTTACAACATCCTGGCCTTAGTGTTTGGGTTTGTCATCCCCTTTTCCATCATTCTCATCCTCTACCCTCTCATTACCAAGAGGATCTCCCAGATCAAACGCAGCATTCGCAAGAGGAAGGCCCTGAGCACCATCTACACCATCCTGCTCATTTGTACCTTGTGCTTCCTCCCCTATCACCTCACCCACTTGCTCCACTTCCTAATGAGAATCCAGGTCATCCAGAACCCAGCACTGATCACCTGGATCTACAAACTGCGCAGGGTCACCTTGGCTCTCGTGAGCTTCAACTGTTGCCTCAACCCCCTCCTGTACTACTTCTCCTCCTCCAGCAAGCTGTGGCACTTCAACTGCAAGCTCAGGTTCAGGACTAAAATGGTCTACACCATCTGTGACCAGAAACTGGGGGAGCTCTCCTATGTTTACCAACTGCATCAGACACAGGGAAATAAAAACCACAGAGATGGAATCAACTGATCTACTTAAAAGTAAGTAGAGTTTTCATCTTTCCAGCTGTTTCTTTGAAAACAAACCTGTGAAATCTATGAAATCTACCCTTTTCTCAGACAGGGGCTGTTACATCAAGGCAACCCTGGAGGAAAGTGCCTAAGAGCTGTGAATTTATATTAGTCTTATTTTAGTAGCTATTTTTTATGATTATTTAACAGTTATTTTCAATTATTATATATAATTTTTAATATATAATAGTATTTATTAGTATTATATAACCCAGGACAGTACCTGGGAGCTCTGTGAGGCCTCAAGAGCACATGGTGACAGATGGTGTTCATGTGCACTGATGCCTTGGTCTCTCCTAGGTTAACTCGGGTTGGGACAATTCAGGGCTCTTCCAGAAGCCAGTACAGCCCAGAAAGGGTTACTTGAAACCTCCTCATTGCCCCTGAAGCTGAGGTCTGGGCAGTCCTGTTGGCTTTTCCCTATTTTGGAGGGATCCTGTTTTCTCCCTGGGGCACCCTGCAGCCAGCTGGGTTCACAAGGGCTTTCTGCCTGCATTCCACAGCCAAATAAGGGCCTCTCCTCCCTTCCTGTGCATCAATACTTTGGCTCCTGAGGAGGATTTCAGTGCAGGCTTTCTAGCTGGCATGCCTCTGGGTTCAGTGGACATCCAATTCATGCAAGCTTAGAAGGTAACAGCTCCAAGGACTTACCAGGAGCAGTGATAAACAAGCTCCCTTGGCCAGAGGCAGGGAGGTGGCTGTGAGAGCTGGCAGGGCTCCTGCTCACGTGGCAAAGAGCTCTTTGCAGTCACTGCTTGTATCACAAAACGTATCTGACCGTTTCACCCCTTCTCTTGCATCAACAGAACCACAGTTCCTGAGAACTGCTGCCTTTTACACCCGGTGAGACATGAGACTTTGGAAAGAATGTATCATTTGTGGGTTAGTAGAGTCCCCAGAAAACCACGGGCCTGGCTGACAGATGTGCTGAAAAGCCAACGGTTGAACTTAAAGAGGTTGTGATTTTGCTTACAGATCTACAGCCTCACTCTTCTGTTCCTTCCCTCACCCCTAAGCTTTAGGAAGCTTGTGGGCCTGCAGGCACTGCCCAGCAGAGGGAAGTGGGCAGGGGCTGTTGAGCAGCACCCCAGGGACACTGTGTTCCATCAGGATTCCCACTTCCAGAGGTGCAGACTGCAGGTAACACTGAGCTCTGACCTGGCACCCACAGTGGGGGGCTGGGCTTCCAGGCTGTGCTGCACCATTGGACTTGGAACAAGAACTACCACAGACCTGGGGGTGGCAGGGTGGTGGGAGAGCAGTGATGGTGTCTCTGTCGGAGGTGTAACTTCTCTCTGCACAACTCTCTACAGCTTCTGCCACAGCCCCCTTGCCAGTTAGGGACAGGAGGTAAGAGTTTGGGAAGGAAGAAGTTTGGGGATCTTGGTTTGTGGAAAAAGAAATTCACATTATGGTGGCAAGAAGGGGGTCTTGAGTTTGAGAGGCTGTATTGTTAGAGCACATCAAGAAACCACTTCAGGAGCTGAGCTGTGTGCAGGAAGCAAACCCAGGGCAGAGCTGAAATGACTATCAAAGCTGGAGCTTTGCAGTAGGTGGCGTTGGGGAGTAGGGCCTGACATAAGTTATTTCACATGCAGATTGAATCATGTTCGACAGACACCTCTTACTAATGGTGGGTCAGTCACCAACTTCTCCAGTTCTTTCACTCTGAGCTTGGAGGAAAGTTTTTAATATGGGTGAGAAAAGCTGCTCAAACTTTTCTAAAGTATTTAAAATAATTCCTGTGTTCCTCTGCTTGACTGGGCTTGGCAACACAAGTGCAAATCCTGGTAAAACGGAGATAAGAACCTCTGAAGGAGCTTTAGGACAAATTAAATCTTTTACCTTTCATGAGATACTGCTGGTTTTGTCCCATTTATAGGCTTTGGAGGGACTATTCTTTCCAGCTAAGCACAATTTTTATATCCTGGACCGATGAAAGCAAAATTGAAGGACTCCCTCTAGGAGTGCAGAGCTTTCTTGCAGGCTGGTTAGCTGTCAGTGAAGGAGGCACAGAGAACAATGTCACACTGCCAGGGAGCTTTATACTCTTCCCTCCATGATACTCACATTTTGCATTTTAATTGTGAAGCTTTGCAAGCTCCTTGTTTCACTCAGCACTGCTTAGGTTTTAGGGGAAACAGGCTGTGGGAGGGAAGAATGCTGAACATCTCACCTTGTTGTGTAAGGGAACTCCCAGCTTCCTCCTCAGGACTCCCCAGCACCAGGCTGAGCTGTGTGCACTGCACAGACTGGACAAGGACTCTGCTTCCTTTATTGAAACAGAACTAGAAACACACCTTGACAATGTAAACAAAATAAAACCTAAGTCTCTCTGAAAAACCCCAGTGCCTGCTGTTCTGTTGCTCATGATGTGCTCTGGGGCAGCCCTTTCTTCAGAAGGGATGTGAGGTAACTGCCCAGCTCTTCATCCTAGAGGGTAAAAAAGAGAACCAAGATGAAAGGAATCTTCTCCTTGACTTTCTTTCTCCTTGACTTTCCCATTTGGGGCACTAAATGAGGCTTTAATACCTAGAAACTGAATTAATTCTTAGACCCATCAAAATCTAATGCTAGCAGTGTTCAAAACTGGAAACCAGTCCAGCTAGCACAACAGCATTTCTGGGGGTTCTTTAAAAATACCCAGTGTAAAACTCCAGTTTGTCAAAGGAGGAGTCTGGACCTGAGGTGTCGCTTTTGAGGAAAACGACCATTTTTCTTTAAACCAAAGAATAAAGCACCTGTTTTGTTTTGCCCTCAAGAAGGTATTTCCTCTCTGTAGAGCAAGAATTTAAAAATACAGTCACAGGAAGTAGAAGAAAACATAATGACTGTGTCTAATCTTATCACTGTTTTGTTAACAAGCCTCCTGCTTGGGGTTAGGTGTAAAACTTCAGAGAAATACAATATAAAATACCTGCACATGCTGTGTGGGAGCAGTGATACAGCTGAGAAACTGGATACTATAGTGTCCTCAAAACACAGACATTAGTGATTCATTATCTAATTGTATTAAGTGTAATTACTCCAGATCAGTTGCTGTGAGTTCAGTGGCCCCAGAGAACTGCAGGACTCTAGAACTCCATGGAATTATTTGTGCTAAACCCAAAATGGTGAAGAAAATGGCAGCAACTCACCTGAAACTACACAGAGAGTGAAAACTCACCCTTAGAACAGCAACCCAGCCTGCAGGGCAGTTTTGGACTGAAAGGAGGTAAGGAAAGTCTGTCTTCAGGAATTCCTACCTGGTAGGTCCAGGATACAAGCAGAACTTTGGTTCCTTGGTCCTCTGAGTGTGCTGTGGCCTGGATGAGAATGGACTCCACTGTTATCGACCCATCAGGGAGGTGCTGCACTGAGTAATCTTTCAGGATGCTGGTGAGAGAGAAGATAGTTACTTAGTTTGAGGGGAAAGGCATCAAAGGAAGGGTGGATCCCCCCTTGCATCTTTGAATGCCTCTGCATCTTGTTACTTGTAGCTGTGTCTGAGCCCAGCACCCCCACCCAAGGCAGGGAGAGTGGGGCCCACCCAGCGGGTGCAGGTGCTTTTGTTCCCCAGGCAGGATTTCCTGCAGAATCCGGTCTGAACCCGGCTCCTCCAAGCAAGGGACCAGCCACAGAACAGAGCAGCTGCCTGCAGGGCTTCAAGTCCAGCCCCAGGGTGGGGAAAAGCTTGGAATAACTTGCCCCTTGAGGTGGTTGTAGACACGGAGCACGGTCTCGTGCTCCTTGCGCGGGTCCTGGATGTGGACGCGGCAGGTGAAGCGCAGCTGATGCTCGGCCAGGCCCAGCTCCTTCAGAGCCTGCTCAGGAGACACCAGGCGGAAGCTCTGCGGAGGACAAGGACAAGTCCATTACAAGCTACTTCTTGTGCTGGGCCAGGTGTGGAGTTTCTGGTCTCCTAAGCCACTAGCACTGCTTATCTTGATTTTAGTTCCCTGTTCATCCAGGACTCGGGTGTGAACGACAACACGCTCATCCAGAGGACACAAAACAAACGCAGGAACCTTGTACTTACATTGTCCTTCATCATCAACGTGCCATGCATGAGCTTTGGCTTCTTGGCATCTGGCAACAGACCTAAAGCAAGGCCAGGGAAGAGAAGGATGACATGGTTAGCAATGGTGTGCTCACTGTTTGCACCTAAGAACTGCTGGAGGTCTGAACACATTGGGTTTGGAGCCTTGCTAAGGTTCAGAGACTAAGGAAGAGGAGAAGATGTAAAATACACGATGCTTAAACCAGTGTCAGTGCTGCAGATGTGTAGGAAACCACACTCAGTGATACAGAATGTCTGTACCTGCTTGTGTACTTCTTGATTCTGAGAGATCTTAGATTTTTCTTAAATTTGGTTTATTAAACATAATTCCAGTGTTCACAGATCAAGCTAGTAAAAGTGCAGATGGACTTGGTACCACAGTGACTAGGCAAGGAGGTAGTGTTTATATATTTGAAACATTACTGACTGTACATCCTCAGCACAGCAGCCACTTCCTGTCCACAGGCAGCTCCTTCAGCCACCAACTGCTGCTCAAACTAGTTCTTCCCCAGGAAGCAGTGCTGTGGGGCACCAGTGGCCCTGCACCACTGTGCCCACTAACACGGGTACTGCACAACGCAGTGGCAGGGACCACGAGATGGGTACTGCACAACGCAGTGGCAGGGACCACGAGATGAAGTTCTCACCTATTGCTGTCTCCCTCTTCAGGAGTCCCAGGGAGATGTCCACGGGAATGCTGGGATTGGTGAGGATGGTGGTGGTCTCCCCGTTGGCAGGCATGTAGCAGCTGACATCTGCAAGGCAAACACCCCAGGTCAGGATGCAGCAGCACACCCAGAGGGGACAGGGACTTTGGCAGGAGCCTATGGCAGCTGTTCAGGACAGGAAATGGAGTTTAACAACAATCTGCTGAAACCAGGGATTTGAAAGGGGCTGAGAAGTAAAACTGCTGCCCAGAC